GCTTTAGGGTTTAGGGTTTAGGGTTTAGGGTTTAGGGGGTGGGGGTTGGGGTTTGCGGGGGCTGGTTAGGGTTTGGGGGTTTTCGGGTTTAGGGTTGGGGTTTAGGGTTTAGGATTTAGGGGTTGGGGTTTGGGGGGGCTGGTTAGGGTTTGGGGGTTTTCGGGTTTAGGGTTTGGGGTTTAGGGTTTAGTGGTTGGGGTTTGGGGTTTGGGGTTTGGGGGGGCTGGTTAGGGTTTGGGGGTTTTAGGGTTTAGGGGTGGGGCTTTCGGGTTTGGGGCGTCTTTGGCAGGGCTGAGGGTTTGCGGCGTGTTTGGAAGGGTTTAGGGTTTCGGGCCCACTTGAAAGGGTTTGGGGGCACTCGTTAGGGTTTAGGGTTTGGCGGGCATTTGTAAGGGTTTGGGGGATATTTAAAGGGTTTGGGGGGTATTTGTTAGGGTTTGGGTGGAGATTTGGAAGGGCTTGGGGGATATTTGTTAGGGTTTGGGTGGAGCTTCGCAAGGGTTTGTGCGGGTACTTCAGGGGTTTAGGGTTTAGGGTTTAGGGTTTAGGGTTTAGGGTTTAGGGTTTGGGTTGTGCAGAGGAGAACAACCAGAACAAGGAGTCGGGTTTGGTGACTTCATGCAACGACGGAGTGGAGTTGATGTCTTTGAAGTTTTTGTCTTTCACGCCAAAAGACGGCGAAGGCTGTTCGTTCCAAGACATATTAGTGTGCAGAGCCTACGCGAACTACCGCAGCGGCGAACCACTGGACTGGTCCAGTGGTCCACTGGTCCACTGCAGCGGCGCGGCCGTGGAGGGCCCCGACCAGTTCCACGACAGCCTCACTGAAAAGAGCGACCTTTACCGCTACCTTCTCATTTATGTCCAGGGCTGGACTGTCACTCTCATCACTGTCGTTTGCTTTTTTCTCTACACCAAATTCAGCTCCAACTTCGACTCCCTCTTTTTCCAGCCCAAGTCCAAACACGCAAACATTCTCTTCAGGATCGGAGCCCCGCAAACCCCTTTCGCGGGCTAACTACAGGGCCCCAGGGGCCCCAGGGGGCCCCAGAGAGGGGCCCCAGGGAGGGGCCCCAGGGGGCCCCTGAGAGGGGCCCCAGGGGGATGTACGGGGCCCCAGAGAGGGGCCCAGGGGGCCCCAGAGAGGGGACCCAGGGGGCCCCAGGGAGGGGCCCCAGGGGGATCTACGGGGCCCCAGAGAGGGCTTCAGGGGCCCCAGAGAGGGGCCCCAGGGGGATCTATGGGGCCCCAGGGAGGGGCCCCAGGGGGATCTACGGGGCCCCAGAGAGGGCTTCAGGGGCCCCAGAGAGGGGCCCCAGGGGGATCTATGGGGCCCCAGAGAGGGTCCCAGGGGGCCCCAGAGAGGGGCCCCAGGGGGCCCCAGGGAGGGGCCCCAGGGGGATCTACGGGGCCCCAGAGAGGGCCCCAGGGAGGGGCCCCAGGGGGATCTACGGGGCCCAGAGAGGGTCCCAGGGGGCCCCAGAGAGGGGGCCCAGGGGGCCCCAGAGAGGGGCCCCAGGGGGCCCCAGAGAGGGGCCACAAGGGGCCCCAGGGGGATCTACGGGGCCCCAGAGAGGGTCCCAGGGGGCCCCAGGTAGGGGCCCCAGGGGGCCCCAGGGGCCTCAGAGGTCCTTAGGGGGCCCCCAGGGGCCTCTTAAGAACCCCTGGGGTCTCAGGGGTTCCCAGAGGGGCCCCCAGGGGCCCACAGTAGCTCCAGGGGACTCCAAGGCCCTCGGGGACTCTAGGACCCCTGTTGGGGCAAAAGCTAGAGCCAGTGATGCCCTGCAGCAGCAGCAGCAGCAGCAGCAGCAGCAGCAGCAGCAGCTTCTGCTGCTGCTGCAGAAGCGGGCGGGGGCTGCGGGATGGGGGTTGAGGGGCTGGGGCTGCGGTGTACGTACACCGCAGCCGCCGCAGGGTGTGGGGCGGCAAGCAGCTGCAAATGCAATTGCTGCAGCTGCCAGAATAAACCCAAAACAGCTGAGAGAAGTGATCTGCTTGCAGCTGCTGCTGCAGCAGCTGCTGCAGCAGCAGCTGCTGCAGCAGCAGCTGCTGCAGTTACTGCTGCCAGCGGCGCTGGCTTCTTCCTTTGGGCTTTTCTCTCTTAGTTGCTGCTTGTTTGCTTCCTTCATATTTAGTCTTCTGCTGCTGCTGTGCTGCTGCTGTGCTGCTGCTGTGCTGCTGCTGTGCTGCTGCTTTGCTGCTGCTAGCTCTTAGCCTTGCGGCTGCTGCGCTGCCGTATAGCAGAGCAGCAGCAAACGGGATAGGAGCAGCAGCAGACAGGAGGAGAGCAGCAGCAAACAAGAGAACAGCAGCAACAAGGAGGATGGGAGCAGCGGCAAGTGGGGGACGGCAGCAAATAGGGGAGTAGCAGCAGCAAACAGGAGAAGTGCAGCAGCAAACAGGGAAAAAGCAGCAGCAAACAGGGAAAGTGCAGCAGCAAAAAGGGAAAGAGCAGCAGCAAAAAGGGAAAGAGCAGCAGCAGACAGGACCACTGGGGTGTACAGACAGCTACGCCCGCTGGCAAACTTTGCTCGGGAACTCGTGCAGCAGCAGCAGCAGCAGCAGCAGCAGCAGCAGCAGCAGCAGCAGCAGCAGCAGCAGATCAAAATAAGATAATTATATTCTAAATGTTTAAAATTAAATGAATTTTTATATTTTATTTGTGAAATTACTTCCTTAATGCATGTCAGGGCCACTTCTGTTCACCGAGGCCCCGAGGGGGCCCCTGAGGAGCCCTTGGGGCCCTTAGGGGGCCCCCCAGGGGCCCCCTCTAGGGGGCCCCCAGGGGCCCCCAATAGAGGATTCTGCTGTACTGACTTTCGTGAAATATATTATGAATATTTATTTATTTATATTTCATTTATATATAAGTTGTAAAAGGGATCTCTTGGCGCCAAAGTATGCTGCAGGCGTTGGCACTTTCTGGTTGATGGTAACTTCCAACAGCGCAACGAGCTGCAGCAGCAGCAGCAGCAGCAGCAGCAGCAGCAGCAGCAGCAGCGGGAGCCTTTGCTGCTGCAGCCACAGCCGCTGCAAGCTGTGCGGATTGCCAGCGGGAGTGCTCGTGTTGCTTCTCGATTTGCTGCCAGCAGCAGACATCAATGCTCTCTGCTGCTGCTGCTGCGCTGCTGCTGCTGCTCTCCTGGACCCTGTAGCACTGAGGCGGCTGCAGCGCGACTTCGGGATTTCAAGACTCCCGCTGCTGGCGCCAGCAGCAGCAGCAGCAGCAGCAGCAGCAGCAGCAGCAGCAGCAGCAGCAGCAGCAACACCAGCATCATCAGCACCAGTAGGAGCAGCATCTGCCCCAGCAACAACCGCAGCAAAGGCATCGCCAGACGCAGCAACAGCAGCAGCAGCAGCAGCTGCTGCTGCTGCTGCTGCTGCTGCCGATTTTACACGGCCAAAGCTGACTGAAGGGCATGCTGCTGCAAGAAGCCCCTCATCTGAGGGGCCCCCCGAGGGCCCCCTGCAGCAACACAGACTCCGGGTTGATGGCCCACCGAACAGCAGCAGCAGCAGCAGCAGCAGCAACAGCAGCAGCAGCAGCAGCAGCAACAGCAGCAGCAGCAGCAAGGCTTCTGGGAGCTCATCTTGTCGCTGCTGCTGCCAACTGGAAGCAGCTAGGGCAGGGAATGCAGCAGCTGAGGTGTACAGACAGCTCTGCAAGAACCGCGCAGCAAATGTGCAGCTCCTGGAGGCCCTCCAGTACGACTACCACAGCAGCAGCAGCAGCAGCAGCAGCAGCAGCAGCAGCAGCAGCTGTTGTGCTGCAGCAGCAGCTGCGAGGCCCACGGCGATTGTCCCAGGAGCAGTGGCGGACCCCACAGCTGCTGCAACAGCAGGGGAAACTCGCGCCTGCAGAGTCGTGCTGAGCAGTAGCGCAGCAGCAGCAGCAGCAGCAACAGCAGCAACAGCAGCAGCAGCAGCAGCAGCAGCAAGTGCAGCAGCGGCCAAGCCTTATGGAGCCTGCATCTTGTTAGAGTCCGACCAGCTTGTTGCTCCTTGCATGGCCCCCTTTGTATTTTCGCGGCGCTGCAGTTCCTCTGCAGCAGCAACAGCAGCAGCAGCAACAGCAGCAGCAGCAACAGCAGCGGCTGCTGCTGCTGCTGCTGAGGGGCAGGTAGCGGAGCTGCTGGAGTGGCACATCTTTGGCTGCCTCTTTTTTCCTGCTGCTGACGAAGGGCCTGCTGCGCTTCTTGTGGCAGTAGATGCTGCAAGAGGCCCCACAGCAGCAATGCACACGCTGCAGCAGCAGCAGCAGCAGCAGCAGCAGCAGCAGCAGCAGCAGCAAGAATTACTGCTGCAGCTCTTCCACCTGTCGAGTCTCCGTGCTCAGCGACTCGCCGCGGAAGTTCCCTTAGGTGACCTCACCCGCGTCACTTGCTGCTGCTACTTGGCTAGGGTTGTCCCACAGCAGCAGCAGCAGCAGCAGCAGCAGCAGCAGCAGCAGCAGCAGCAGCACCAGCACCAGCAGCAGGAGCAAGAGCACAAGCTCACTCAAGAGACAGTTGTTGCTGCGTGGGATGCAGTTGCCAGGCGTTTTATTATCGTGCAGCTGAGACCTTCCTACATGCAGGAGCTGCAGCAGCAGCAGCAGCAGCAGCAGCAGCAACAGCAGCAGCACCAGGGCCTGCAGCAGCAGCAGCAAATCGTCCCTGTAGAAGCCTTAAATGCGTCTGCGGCTTCAGCGTCTGTAGGGCGAGGCATGGAAGAATCCACCTTGGAAATCTCAGCAGCAGCAGCAGAGGCTGCAGCAGCAGCAGCAGCAGCAGCAGAAGCAGCAGCTGCTGCTGCAGGCCTCCCCGTCAGCAGCAGGTGGTCATATATTCCTTACCTGTCTTCTCACTTCAGCGGGTCACCTCTCCCAGTTTGCATGCAGTGGGTGCAGCCCCGCTGCACTGCAGCAGCAGCTAAGCAGCAGCAGCAGCAGCAGCAGCAGCAGCAGCAGCAGCAGCAGCAGCTGCAGTGCATCTTCGCGCAGCGGCTGCCGCCGCTGCTCGTGGGGTTTTCTGACGGGTCCATCTCGCTGCTGACTTTGCCAGAATTGGAGGAATTAAAGCTTCTGGGCCCCACAAGGTGAGCAGCAGCAGCTGCAGCAGCAGCAGCAGCAGCAGCAGCAGCAGCTGCAGCAGCAGCAGCAGCTGCTGCTGCTGCTAATGCTGCGCCACATAATTGCGTGCTGCCGCAGCACATCTAATTGCTGCTGCTGCTTGTAAGCCTAGAACGATTCAGGCAGTTCACCTGTTCGTTTCTTGAGCATCTCCCTAAAATTCTAGGACTGAGGGTTTAGGGTTTAGGGTTTAGGGTTTAGGGCCTAGGGTTTAGGGTTTGGCCTGAGGGTTTGAGGGCTCAGAGCTAGGGTTTGTGCTGCAGTGGAGGCCCCCCTCGCCTGTCGGAGTTCGTAGGCGGCCGAGGTCTCTGCAGCTGGGATGATTTGCTGCTGCTGCTGCAGGTTGAGTGCCACTGCAGCAGCAGCAGCAGCAGCAGCAGCAGCAGAAGCAGCAGCAGCAGCAACAGCAGCTACGGCGACGATGGGAATCTTAGAGTTTATCTTCTGAGCTACTGCAGCACCTCTGAAGTGGTAGCAGAAGCAGCAAAAGGGAGCGCTGCTGCGCGAGCTGCTGCTGAAGATGCTGCTGCACCTGCAGCAGCTGCAGCAGCCGCTGCTGCTGCTGAAGATGCTGCTGCACCTGCAGCAGCTGCAGCAGCCGCTGCTGCTGCTGCAGGCGCACGTCAGGGGGATGCCGTTGAGGATGCCGCTGCAGCTGCAACTGCATCAACTGCAGCAGCAGCAGCAGCAGCAGCAGCAGCAGCAGCAACTGCAGCAGACAGTACATCGACGGCAGCCAGGAGCTCCAGCGAAGAGGCCGCGTATGAACTGCAGCAGGTACGCAGAGCAGCAGCAGCAGCAGCAACAGCAGCAGCAGCACAAACCTGAGAAACCCTGATGGCAAGAGCCAGCGCAAAAACCGCTAGAAGCAGCGGCAGCATCATCAGCTGCAGCAGCTGCTGCTGTCGCTGCAGCTGCTGCAGCAGCTGCTGCAGCAGCTGCTGCTGCTGCGCTGGCATTATCCCAGGAGGAACTTTTTGTGCTTTTGATGCAGCTCAATTTCAACGGAGAAACAGCAACTGTGACAATGCGGCGCCCCTCCTGCATTTGCTTCCTTGACATACGCCGCGGGGTGCAGCAGCAGCAGCAGCAGCAGCAGCAGCAACAGCAGCAGCAGCAGCAGCAGCAGCAGCGGGTAAGCGATTCACGTGGCGCAAGTGGACCCTTTGAGAGACTCCGAGCCGCAGCACGAAGAGCTGGAGCGGTACTTCCTGAGCCAGCCAGAGACGGGACGGGTGTTGGAGCAGCAGCAGCAGCAGCAGCAGCAGCAGCAGCAGCAACAGAAGCAACGGCAGCAGCAACAGACGCGAGGGGGGTCAGATGGCTGCTGCAGTGGGGTGTACCTCCACCTCAGCGCGCTCTCCTTGCACTCGCCTCTTTGTCTCTTTCCCTAAGGAAGCAGCCAGACCAGCAGCAGAAGCAGCAACCCGCAGCATCTGCAGCAGCAGCAGCAGCAGCAGCAGCAGCAGCAGCAGCAGCAGTAACGCTGAAGCCCCGGCTGGCCTGCTGCGCCTCACAGCCAATTGGCTGTGTCGTTGCTGATGAGCAGTGCTGCGCCTTCGCCCTTGAAGGCTCTCCAGCCCTTTATATTAAACCCATAGAAGAGGGGCCCCCAGCAGGGGGCCCCCCTGAAGGGGGCCCCCCAGCAGGGGGCCCCCCTGAAGGGGGCCCCCCTACAGGGGGCCCCCCTACAAGGGGCCCCCCTACAGGGGTCCCTCCTACGGGGGCCCCCCCTACACAGGCCCCTCCTTCGGGGGCCCCCCCTAGAGGGGCCCCTCCTTCTAGGGGGCCCCCTGAAGGGGGGCCCCCTGGAGGGACTCCTCCTTTTGGGGGGCCCCCTGCAGGGGGCCCCCCTAGAGGGGCCCCTCCTTTTAGGGGGCCCCCTAGAGGGGCCCCCCCTCCGGGGGGCCCCCCCAGAGGGGCCCCTCCTACGGGGGGCCCCAGAGGAGAGGGGCCCTTGGGGCCCAGGTTGGACTGGCGGGGGGGGCTGAGGTGTATAGACACCCGAGCAGTGAACCCCCCAGGGCTGCTGGGGGCCCCCTCGCTGCTGTCTCGTTCGTGGCTTGTGGGGAGAGCAGCAGCAGCAGAAGTGCAGCAAATGGCGCTGCAGCAGCTGCATGTTGTGGGGCCCTTTCTTGTTGCTGCTAGGAGGCACGAGCGGCTGCAGCTGCTGCTGCTCCCGCTGCAGTGCCAGCAGCACCTGCTGCCACCCACACCCCGCCCGCTGCAGCAGCAGCACGAGCAATCAGGCGCGCTTGCTGCTGCTGCTGCTCCTGCTGCTGCTGCTGCTGCTGCTGCGACACAGTGGGGCAGCTATGACTGCAGCCAGTGAGGGATTGTTAGGCTCCAGCTACGAGTCTTTCCAGGGACAGCAACTAAGAGCAGCAGCTGCTGCTGCTGCTCCTACAGTATTCTTATTGCTGCAGCATAAGCCTTATATGCTGCTGCTGCTGCTCCTGCAGTATTCTTATTACAGCAGCCTGGGGCTTTGCTGCTGCTGCTGCTGCTGCTGCTGCGGCAGCGGCTTCCCACTGTTTAGGTATATATGCACCTCAAAAGGAGGGAGAGGGGTGCAGCAGCAATAGCAGCCACACTAAAGAAGCAAATAGAAGGCTCATTTAGCAGCAGCTGCTGCGAGGAGCTGCAGCAGCTGCTGTTGCAGCTGCTGCAGCTGCTGCTGCAGCTGCTGCAGCAGCTGCTGCAGCTGCTGCTGCAGCTGCTGCAGCAGCAACTGCGCTGGAGCGCAGCCCAGGCGGTGTAAGTACAGCCTGTTTGTGTGGACTTCACCTGTGACGCATTGGGCGTCAGTTACTTGCAACAGCAGCAAACAACAGTTGCAAAGGCAGCAGCAGCAGCAGCAGCAACAGCAGCAGCAGCAGCAGCAGCAACAGCACGAGTTGCTGCTGCAGTTGATGTTGAAGGCATTCACACTTGCCGCTGTGCCCGTTTAAATCTGAGGGCTGTCGCTGCTGCTGCTGCTGTTGCTGCCGTTGCCTGTGGGATGTGCAGCGCGAGCAGCAGCAGCGGAAGCAGCAGCCAGCAAGAGCAGCAGCAGCAGCAGCCAGCAAGAGCAGCAGCAGCAGCAGCAGCTCAGCATTGTATCAGGAGGAATAAAATTGATTTTAATTGTTGAATAACAGTGCAAAACACTTCAGCAGCAGTGGATCTTCTCTAGGGGCCCCCCAGGGGCCCCCAGCCCGCCCCGGAAGGCTACAGACGAAACCTCTGAAGACTTCTTTCTGGGAAAACTGTTTGCTGGAAATTCCCAAAAAGGTTTTAATTTAATAAAATTCAGAAGTTGTTCAACTACTTCGAAAGAAGGGGCTGTTGGAGGAGGCCAGGCTGGGACCTTCCGCTGCTGCGGTTCTGCTGCTGCTGCTGCTGCTGCTGCTGCTGCTGCTGCTGCTGCTGCTCCTACACGCAGAAGCTTGGTCATTCTGAAATCCTCCAGGATTCCCCATCAAAATCTGCTGCAGGGGAGCCAGGATCCTCAGGATCGTCTCAAAGAGATGCAGCAGCAGCAGCAGCAGCAGCAGCAGCAGCAGTGGGAGCTGCAGCAGTAGTCAAAGCCGTGGTCTTCACGCAGGCGTAGCTCCACAGCGCAGCGGGAATAGCTGCCGCTGCTGCTGCTGCTGCTGCTGCTGCTGCTGCTGCTGCTGCTGCTGCTGCTGTTGCCTCCTTTTGTGCAGACCGCCGCAGCTGCGGCGCTGCTGTGGTGAGAGCGCAACAAGCCATGCAGCAGCAACCGCTGCAGTTGCAGCAGCAGCAGCAGCAGCAGTTGTTTCTACTGCTGCTGCAGCAGATTAGCAGTTTCAGGCTTCGGGTTTACCGCAGCTTTTCTCAGGCTGTTGTCTGATGACTCTGGAGTGTCCCACTGACCCTGCTGCAGAAGCTGCGCAGCAGCAGCAGCAGCAGCAGCAGCAGCAGCAGCAGCACTCAGCAGCAGCAGCAGCAGCGCCGGCACAAATGGCCGCACCCTCAGTGCCAGGTGCGACCGCACCGGAAGCTTCGGGAGGATCAGAAGCGGCAAAGTCAGCAGCAGCAGCAACAGCAGCAACAGCAGCAGCAGCAACAGCAGCAGCAGCAACAGCAGCAGCAGCAACGGCAGCAGCTGCAGCAGCAGCTGCGGAGAATGAGGATCCTGTGGTGTCAGAAGATCTGCTGCTGCTGGACTTCCCGGAATTTTCGTTTGCCCCTTCTCTCAAGAAGAGAAGACAAATGCCGGCGCGCGTCCCAGCAGCAGCAGCAGCAGCAGCAGCAGCAACAAAAGCAGCAGCAGAAGGAGTAACATCCGCTGCTGCAGCAGCAGCAGCAGCAGCAGCAACAGCAGCAGTGGAAGATGCAGATGCATCTTCGCAGGCAAAGCAAGGTGCTGAGCGCCCGGGAAGTCCGGAATTGGCAGCAGCAGAAGCAGCAGCAGGAGCAACAGGCGCAGCAGCAGCAGCAGCAGCAGCAGCAGCAACTGCAGCAGCAGCAGCACAAGCCTCGTTTCTGCGGCAGCAGCAGCTGCAGCTAAAAGTGTGGGGCCTCGACACGGCGGAGCCGCTGCTGCTTTTGGGGGACTTTTCATTTAAAGGCGAAAGGCTAACAGAGCGCATGACCACCACTGCCTTGTTCAGAATCAACAAGCAGCAGCAGCAGCAGCAGCAGCAGCAGCAGCAGCAGCAGCAGCAGCAGCAGCAGCAGCAACAGCAGCAGCAGCAGCAGCTGGCAAGCGATGAGGAAGCAAGTGTAGATGCACACGCAGAACTGGAGGGCATTGCTACGGAAATTATATCTTTCAAGATAGATATTTCTGCTGCTGCTGCTGCTGCTGCTGCTGCTGCAACAACAGCAACAGGGACAGAAGCAAGGCCCGATGCTGCTGCTGCTTCTTGTGACAACAGCTGCAGCACTGTTGCGCAGACCCACCAGCTTTAGACCCAGCAGCAGCACTAGCAGCAGCAACACTAGCAGCTGCAGCAGCAGCGACAACGGCAGCAGCGGTTGTATTATTCATGAACCGCTAGAGTCTGCTGCTGCTGCTGCTGCTGCTGTTGCTGCTGCTGCTGCTGCTCGTTCACCTTGGAATGTCAGTTCCGTTTTAGGTTGCTGGGAGACCTGCCTAGCGTGAGCTGCAGCAGCTGAAGCAGCAGCTGCAGCTCGGGCGAGCAGCAGCAGCAGCAACCGCAGCAGCAGCAGCAGCAGCAGCTGCTGCTGCTGCTGTGTTGTGCTGCAGCAAGCCTTCTGGCGTGCTGCGCTGCGTCGCAAAGAAGGCGCGCAGAACGTGAGGTGTCTGTACACCCGAGCAGCATTTGGCAATTTCAGTTTTTGTTTATTTCTAAAAAAGGAAATGCCGAATTTATTGACAAATTAAGAGGATTATTTGAACTTCAGAAGAGGCCAGGGGCAGATTCTTTCAGCTTTCTCCACTTGCTGCTGCTGCTGCTGCTGCTGCTGCTGCGTGCAACTTGCTGCAGTTCTGCTGCGGCCGCGCAGCAGCAGCAGCAGCAGCAGCAGCTCTTTCCGTTTTATGTTATTTAAAGCAGCAAACACAAATTAAATCTTTTTAAGGCTCAGTGGAGAGCCGGGAGGAACTTGGGGTTTCCTCCGACACACACTTCTCCCAGAGAGGCATTTTGTTGAATACTTCTGCAGTGCTGCGCTGCGCTGCAGCAGCCGCTGCTTATGCTGCAGCAGCCGCTGCTTATGCTGCAGCAGCCGCTGCTTATGCGCCTTTTCTTGTTCAAAAGAGCCTAATTAGATTAGTGAAGGCAAAGAGGGTGAATTGGGACTTCTTTTTGGGGCTTTTTGGCTCGGGCTGCAGAGTTGCACAGCGGCTTTCTGGCTGCTGGCGGCCGACGGGGGCTCTGCTGGAGGCCCCGCTGGCCGAGGAATTTCCCGAGAAATTCCCTCAAGTTCTGTTGATATAAATATCAAAAAGAAGTTTTAAATTGCAATTAAAAAGCAACTCCGGCGGCGGCTCGACGCCAGCCGGGTGTACGTACACCGCCAAGCTCAAGTGTCCGGCGTGGCTGGAGGCAGCGCAGCAGCCGAACTCCAGCTGCGATCTTCGCTGAAAAGTCCCGAAAAAACGAACTTTGAGTTTTCTTTTGTTTTTCTTTTTCGATCTTTTGTGTTGGGGAGGCGCGGGAGTCGCCGGGGCACTTCGCGGCCTCCGAACACTTTGCAAGTTGCGTCGGTGGCGGCGCAGCCGCTGCGCGCAGCGGCCTCGCGCGAGAAGACCTTTCGGGCCTCTTCGAGCAGTCTTCTTGAATTTGAATTGCATTTGCAAATTAATTATTTCTTTGGAGCCGCGAGTCGCAGGCGGGCAGCAGCGCGCTGCTGCGTTTCAGCTTTCCTCGCCAGCAGAACAGCATCGGCGCCGCAGCAGCTGCTGCTGCTTCTCGCGCGGCTCCCTCCCCGCCTTCTTTCCTTTCTTTGGCTTTTCTTTTCATTTTCTGAGTTATTTATTTGCAATTCGACGAAGAGCGGAGCCGTGGCCGCGCAGCAAGCTGCAGCTGCTGCGGGCTGTGCTGCAGCTTCCGCCGCGGCTGGGTCTTGGCTCGTTTTGAAGCTGCGCCGCCTCTCCTTGCCCAAGTGCTGCAAGCAGCAGCCCCCGCCGCGCTGCTTCTCCCGCTGCAGCGCAGCAGCAAGCTCTCCCGCTGCAGCAAGCTCCCCCGCTGCAGCAAGCTCCCCCGCTGCAGCAAGCTCTCCCGCTGCAGCGCAGCAGCAAGCTCTCCCGCTGCAGCGCAGCAGCAAAGCCCTGAGTGTGTGCGTGGGTCTCTGGCCATGCGGGGCGGCGAAGGCTCTCGGGGGGCCCCCGAAGAGGAGTTGGGGGCCCCCCCCCTGCGGCAGTTGCCGCCCGCGGGGGCCGGGGGGCCCCCCCGGCCCCCGGGCTGGTGCGGAGTTACTCCAGTTTGGACCCTTCTAATGATGCTTTTACAGTTTCTCATGAGATGGACTTCGAAGATTGGATAAGTTCGGGATTGAGTTGTTTGCAGCTGCTGCTGTCTTCTTGCGTGGTGGGTCTTGGGATTTATTTGCTGCTGACTTGTCCGGAGATGGCAGCAGAAGCCCCGCTGCTGTTTTACTTCGTGGCGTTCTCGCTTGCTGCTGAGCTGCTGCTGCTGCTGCTGCTGCTGCTGCTGCTGCTGGCCGTGCGGCTGCTGTGCGGGGCCGCGCGGGCCGAACACGCAGCAGCAGTCTGCGGACTCTGCCACAAAAGCCTCGAAGGAGTTATTTACTTTTGCTGCGCGGGTTTCGGGGCCTTTTTGCTGCTGCTGCTGTCTGCTGCAGCGCCGGGGCAGCAGCAGCAGCAGCAGCAGCAGCAGCAGCAGTGGGTCTCGTACTTGGGCCAAAGGCGGCTCTTTGTCTGGGCCTTTGTGGGCCTCGAAGTGGCTCTTTGCTTCCTTTATTGTCTCCAAACTATTCCAACTCTTTTTGGAATTTGCAAATTTGCTTTTCAAAAACTTTACTTCAAACTTTCCGGCAGAGACGAACACCAGTGGAGGCCCCACGAGGTCTCGCTGGCCTACGCCCGCCTCGCCGACTACGACTACTCCCTGCGCCACATGCACAACCCTGCTGCTGCTGCTGCTGCTGCTGCTGCTGCTGCTGCTGCTGCTGCTGCAGCAGACAGTTCCAGGGTGTACGTACACCCCGCGGAGCCAGACTCGCCCGCCGCTGCGCAGGCCAGGGAGAGGGAACAGGCCCTCCTGGACCAGAACATCTGAGTGCAACACCTCAGCTAGCCAACAGCCACCAAATGGCTAGCTGGCAGCTAGCCAACAAGCAGCAAATGGCTAGCTGGCAGCTAGCCAACAGCCCGCAAATGGCTAGCTGGCAGCTAGCCAACAGCCCGCAAATGGCTAGCTGGCAGCTAGCCAACAGCCCGCAAATGGCTAGCTGGCAGCTAGCCAGCAGCCAGCAAATGGCTAGCTGGCAGCTAGCCATCCACTCACCAGCAGCTAGCTGTGAGCTAGCGGCTGGGAGTTGCTGCCAGCCAGCTGCAAAGCAGCAGCTAGCCGCTGCTGCTCTCAGCCTCGCAAGAGGCAGAGGCGAAAACTGAACAAACAAAGTTTTAGAAGTTTTCTTTTTAATTTACTTTAGTGGATTTGTTAAATAATGTCTTCTCCACTTTTTGCAAAGAGTTTGAATTTTATTAACATTTACTTCGCATTTAATTTAATTATATTTTAGACATTTGCAAAGTTTACTTTGCTGCCTACTGGGCCAGCTAGGCTTCGCCTGTCGGAAACTAAGCAGCAGCAGTAGCAGCAGCAGCAGCAGCAGCAGCAAGCAGTATTTAGCTGGTGGCGCTACTGCTGCTGCTGCTGCTGCTGCTGCTGCTGCAGCAGCAGCAACACCTCCAGCTAGGGCCTCCTTTAGGATCTTGTACCTTAATCCCTACTGCCAGCCCGCTGGTGACAATGAACCAATCTGCCTTCATACAATAGCTGCCCCAGCTTGAGCAGCAGCACAACAGCAGCACCTGGGGAGCAGCAGCAACAGAAGTAGCAGCAGCAATAGCAGCAGCAGCTGCTGCAGCAGCTGCAGCAGCAGCAGCAGCAGCGGTGGCGGCCTTGCGCCAAACTAATTGCCGGGGCCCAAGCAATGAGAAGTACAACAAAAGAACTGACTGGCAGTGCCCAAGAAGTGAGAAATAGAACACAAAGAACAACAAGTCTGGGTTCCAAGTGAAGTGGAAAGCAAATGAACGGTCAAAAAGCTGCAGCAGCAAGCTGCAGCAGCAAGCTGCAGCAGCAAGCTGCAGCAGCAAGCTGCT